CCTTCTAGACCAGTCTGCTTGATCATAAATGAAATCCCTTTTATGGCTACCTGGTTTTTACTGGTGTCAACTTTCAGGTGAGTTGGATGCTATTAACGTGACTTTACCACAGCATTCTTCCCCAGTTCCCTACTAAGCATAAATTATTTCTTCTTCCCTTCCTTTTACACCCTTTGAAGCCCAGCAGGGAATGTGCACTTACTCCTGGGGGTGTTTCTGTTTTTACAGTATGTTGCCCCTCCTGCGGAAGGACAGGCTGCTGCTGCCCTACACTGTGACCATGCTGGCCTTCCTCTCCGCCTGCCTGGCTTCCTTTTCCATCTTTGAGAAGACCTCAGCAGAGGACCTACAGCTGAAACCCTTAACCCTTTCCCTGAAGGGATACGTTTCTTGGTTTAAGTCCTTTCCCAAGATTGTCAGGAGCTTGGTAAGTGATTTTAATTGCTATAACTCTTACTTGCAGCTCTTCATGGTACTGAAGAACTTGCACAGAGCAGTTTTATGTCTATGTGTGTGAAGCTCCCAACAAGAAAAGCTGCACTATCTCCATGCAGAGCTGTGCTACAATTTTTTTCTGCAGTGTCATCTAGGTATAGATTGAAGAATTCAGAGCACCCAAGTAATGAAAGTAACAACTGTTCAATCACAGTGAGCTGATGTTTCATTCCTTATCTTACAGTTCCTTTTCTCCATAACCCTGATGGCCACCCTGTCTCTAATGAGTGCTGCAGTGCATCCTCCACAGAGGTTTCCAGATTTATTCCCTGTAGCTGTGTCTGTTCTTTCCTGCTTACACTTTTTATTATTTTTGGTGTATTTTAATGTTGTTATACTCTGGGACTCAAAGAATAGTAGAAGTATGAAGAAAATCAGTTAATCAACCTGTGAAGATCAAGGGCTAAACTGTGAAAGGACAAAGTAATTCCGGTGGATGGTGTCTGGCATGGCAGGTACAGCTGGCTGTAATCTAAGACAATTCCTGTAACCTAATGAAAAGCAGGAACCACATTATGGATATTTAAACACATAATGATTAAAGACTGCTTTAATGGAGAGGTATTTTGAAGGGCACTTGGAAATGTGATTTGCTGTGTTTACTTCAGAGGTGTAATACTTTTGTTACCATTTGTCAACTTGAAATGGCTAATAAAGGACCAAATTTTGAATTGGGATTGGGGTTTTTTTAGTTATTATGTGCTGTTTTCCACAACACCAATAGTTTCAGAATGCTGAAGGCCAGCAGAAGCCACAGAGCCACAGCAAAGTTAGTGCTGGGTGTGGAAGTAGATGCTGTGATGTTAGGAAAGGGGAAGGTTCTTGTGGATGCAGTGGGTTGGAGCACATTTCTTCCTTTGCCATGGTTTGGTTTTAACACTCAAGTGGTTTTATGACTCTCAACAAGTGTTTCTAATGAGACTGAGAAGCTAATAACTCCTGGTCCTACTGCAACAATGAGCGAGGTACTGCAGTTCAGTTTCAAAGCAGCTACTAGGCTCTCCAGAAATAAAAAAAAAACCCAAACAGAAAACCCCCAAACAACACAATAAAAGCCATCCCTTACTGCAGTCATTTGCAGATGTAAACTGCCCTAAACTCTGCAGTTTCTCCCTCTGCACTGAACAGCCTCCAGTGCCCGTAGTTCAGGGAATACAAATCAGCTGAAAAATTAGATGCATAACAAAGCATGTAGGAAGAAAATAAATCATAAAGCAATGCATGGCAGTGTAGTTTAATTAGCAGTCAGTCCATCCTTCATTCTGCTTAGACACTATATATATATATCTCAAAAAAAAGCCCCCCCATCCTTGTTTAAAGGCTTGTCCCCTGCCCTGGCTGTGCTCACACATACCAAACTGTCACTGACATTAGCACATTCTGGGCTGTCTCTGCAGCATCAGTCGTGAGTGTGTGAATCAGCTGTTCTGGGAACTTCCAACTGTGTCAGTTATGAATACTGCAGATGAAGGGGCTACAGCCTGAGTGTATTTTATTCTGGTTTTTTTCCAGCTTTATTTGTTGTGGAAAAGGTAACCACAGCCAACTTCACACCCATGGCAGCAAAGACAAAATAAAAAAAGCTGTGCTTGAGTAGTAAGCGTAAGGTTGTCAGGGTGAGTACAAGTTCAGCAGTTTACCTACAATGTAGCAATTCACTGTAAAACAACAAAACCTAAATATTTTCAAAGTATTTAGAATTTTTCTGAGGGTGTGACTCTAATGGTGGCATGCAGGAGCTCTGCCCACAGCGTGGCCTTTCTTCCTAGAAGCGTGGGCCAAGCGGCATCGATGTGTATCGGGACATAAATAGGAATCTTTGTCTCCAGAGGCTGTGAAAACTAAAAACCACAGTGTTCCCTCTGAGTACAGCTGGGTGAGAGACCACCACATGTTCAGGCAGCTTGAAGAACATCTACTGCTAGTGAAATAACATTTGAAACAGCAAATGGAGGTGGAGGGAAGCAGAATGGATTTGGATTCTTGTTTTGGTTCAACAGGAGAGCAGGGTGCCATCCTTCCCCCCCATAGAAAAACATTAGTTTTGAGTGTATCCCTTTTCTTTGTCCTTGAGATGGCCTCCAGGGGTGATAAAGTGAGAGCCATCTGATCCACCTTGGGTGGAACTGGAAATGGTTCTTAACAGCCCCAGCTGTTTCTGAAAGGCAAAAGCCAAGTACACGGAGAGGTCAAAGAAACAGTAAGTGCTCAAATAGCTGAGGCATGTGTGAGGAGTCTCAGAGCAGAATCTTAGGGTATAACTCTTTATTTCACAAAAAATGATTACATGGCATATTTCCTGGCATTTAATAACTACTGTTAGCTTGTTGTCCATCACTGCCTTAACTGTCATTTTCTGCAAAAGTTTTATTTCATTCTTTTAAGACTGCACAGAACAGCTTGATTTACAATAGCACACAGGTCATTTACAGATGCTTTTCAGATCAATAATTATTTAATTTCCAGCTAGAGAGGTTACAATCAGGTTATATAAACTATTGCTGGTTCAGGCTAACCTGCCATTATCACACAGAACAATCAGCTGGTGAATCTTGGATGTACAACAAAATCACCAGGGCAGACAGCTTAGATGATAAAGGTGAAGGTAAACTGAGTAGGTAACACAATTCACTTCTAATAATTACTGATTTTTTTTCCAGTCAGACAACACAGGTATTTAAGTGCAAAAACATTTTTATTAATTAAAAACTCCCAAAGCTTAAGTGCCTGCATGTTTCCTCACACACTGAACAAACTGAACATTGTAGTTCTCAGGACTTTAGTTGTGAAAATCAGTGTATGTTTGAGTACCAGTACTTGACAGTAGTAGAAGGAAGGGACCTCCAGTTGTGTGCATTTATGTTGAACTTTCTGAAAAAAAAAAACCCAACCCAAATCATTCTGCACTGTTCCTACATGAGGCTGCATCTCACCAACTTGAGATGCAGGGTATTCACTGGGGTGGAGAGGTGGTTTTGGGGGTAATGAAATAAAGAAGAAACTCTTTGCTAACAGCTCTCCCACTGTATCATTAAGCACCAAACCTTAATGAAAATGTTGCCCTAAAAAGCCAATGTCATTAGAACCACGTGTTTTAACATTGCAGGCTTGAATCTGATACCTTGGCAGAGTGTGTCTTTGGTTGACTTTAGAGGAAACATCTTTGTAGGTAACAAATATGTCCCTAATTGTGACAGCCACAGAGAGAAACAGGTGTTTGTAAACCACTCAAACATGTTCAGCACTCAGCATAATTCCTTGCACAACAGCTTCCTTTATCTTTTGAGCCCAATTATAATGAGAAAAAGTCATATGTCTTTAGGCAGCTTGTTACAAAACTAGATGCATTAATTGGAATCATGTTTTGCTGGCTCTTGGGGGCGGGGAATGAAGAATTCATTGAAGGCCCTGGCAGGAAGCAGCCATTTCCCAGTAGGGGCCTGGGATCCCTAATTCATCTAGCCTGGTTTCTCCTCACCCAGTTCTTGGAGGGAGGATCCTAGTTTAGTTTTTTAAAAGCAATATTATAGATTGGCAGTAAGAACATACAGGCACTACAGTTTCCTTCCCATGCAGCAACAAACCTAAATCAGTATTTTGTACACAAGCTTGCACAAAGCACCCAGGATGTATTATTTACATTGAGATGATCTGGTTGTGCACATTGTTAAGTTTAAATAGATGCCAGAAATTTTATCTAGATGTGCACCTGCCTAGTGCAATGAGCAGTCCTGAACTGGTATTTGCTGGGGAGATAGGTTTACAGGCACTTCTTCGCTCCTTTTAAGTACAGTCCAGCAGATGTAGAACTTTGGGTTGATGTGGAATACATTTTTCATGTAATGCCTGTGTGGAGTTAAGGAATGACTAAAATAAATAGCAATTAGGCAACAGCATCATCACTCATGTGACCTGTCCAGAATGATCTCTCTGTCCTACGGTCAGTACTTGCTGCATAAAAAAAATACAGGCAGACAAGACATCCTGGGGCAATGTAGAGCAACAGATGGTCTTCCCTTGAACTGCAGTAACATTTTAAGGTTCAAGGAAATGCTGTAGCTTTTATCTATAGAAAAAGTTGAGAAGTATTTACTAAAAGGTCATTTAGCTATCACAACCAGATTGTTAAAACAATAAGAAAGCAAAGGGCTTTACAGTGTTGGTCACACTTGGGAAGAGATTAGAGAGAACCAGAGAAAATAAATGTCTCTTTTTTTGGACATAAGGTGCAAACCAAATATTCACTGACTAGATGATACTGTCCAAGAGTGGAGACATGAAGCCCTGTAGCTGTGGTCAGTATGAGTTTAGCTGAGGCTAGCAAGCCTGTGTAAGACCTCAGCTGGTTATTGTACCACAGAATGGTGACTCCCTCTCTCCTGTAGGACTCTGAAATTGTGCTGAGTGGAGAAAATGAGCTGCTGAACAGGATGCTCTGCTCTGCTGCACTGGTTTCCATCCCCCAAGCACTCTGCAGTTGGTGTGGCAGGCAGCAGGCAGCCTCCTGGGGGAATTCCTGGGCATCAGTTGTGGCATTTAAGAAGGTACAATCTGAAGTACACTTGTTTTCTTGCTTTCCTTACACGTGTTACAGCTGAGCTGCCATTCTTGAAAAAACAGCCAGTTAGGAACTGACAGTGTTGATGAGGAGAAAAGCTGTGGGATGTTAGAGTGGAGCAGAGTCTCTGGAGATTCAAGGTGTCCCTTTCCTTACCAGAGCAGTGCCAGGAAACGCCCCGTGCAGAAAGCAGCTCCAGACCTCAGCCAAGGAGAGACCTCAGGAAGGCGGCGCTGCCGCTGGTCTGAACTTGCGCTGGGGAGGAGGAAAGGCAGTTTGGATAAACAGAACAACAGTGTCCCTGCAGGACTGATGGCAACCCCCCCACAAATACGAGTGAAATAAGTCACTGCAGCACTTCACAGAGCCCTGTTACTTCATACAGGTACTGTATCTGAACAGTAATTGAGGAGATTGTCTTAATTACTTGAGTGTAAGCACATATGCTACATCCTTACCAATGATGACAAAGCAGAATAGAATGTGCTACAAGGGTTAGAAGCTGGTCCCTTTTTTACTATTAATAATAAAAAAGATAAAAATGTATAAGGATCAGCAGATTCAGCAGAATCCAGTCAAGGTTTGCATGAGAGGAACAACCACCCCGAGTCCTCTCAGGAGATGGCAAAAGGGAGGCAACCACACTGGAGCCCCTTTCTCAAGGAGGGCAGGGCCAGGCAGAAGGGCTGAGCAGATGGCTGGAAGCAGAGGAAAAGTGTGCAGGGGCAGAAAGGAACTCAGGGAATGAGAACATACGGGGAAAGGGCCTGGAAGCAGGTGCATCTGAGTGCCAAGATTGCCCTTCTGCAGCAGGTGATCAGCTTTGGGCTGCTGATGGTTCATACTGCATTTTGATTCCACCACTACAGAAGGGTGAAGAAAGAATTCAGAATTATTTGCTTTATTTTAAACATACTGAACACATCACAGAGATATTCACAGCAGCTAAAAAGACTCACACTGTGAGGAAAAGGGCTGCATAGAAACAGAGATGCAGAGAGGCAGCAAAGCCACCAAAGTCATGGGTGGTGGTGGGGAAGAGTCTCCTCCGTTCTCCTTGTCTGGCACACTGTGATTTCCTGGCTGTCACAGGAGACCTGCCTGGGATCTGACATGAGGTGCCAGTGACCTTACCTGGAGCTGGCCACACCTAATAAACACCTTTTGTTTACACAGGTTCTCATAAAAACCCCAAACCTTTAACTATTGCTTGAAATAGGAAACCGTCCAGTCTTGTATGACAGATTTAAGTCCAAGTTGGTTTATGTGTACCAACTGCAATTCCCTAACTGAGTCTGTCTGAGCCCTCTCATCCCTACCTGCAGGACAAGGCAGCACTTACAAACACCAAAGCAGCAGGGCCAGGATCTGAAATTCCCTCTCAGAAGCTGTCTTCAAAAATGTCAGCTGCCCAGATTCATATAAAGCATCATTTACTCAGCTTTCTTTCCAAATATATACCATGAGAGCAGCTTTTGACAAAGGCCTTATTTTACAGTAATATTTATACAGATGGCATGAAGGTTTAGATATTCAAGTAATCAAATAATATGAGTTACTGCTCATAGGCTTACAGTGCTTGCTGTAGCAGTTTAAGCTGTTTTGGGGTTTTTTGGTGTGGGTTATTTTTGTGTGTGTGTGTTTTTTTTTTTCTTTTAGCTAGTGAAAATAATGAGTTACTCTTAAAAACCCCAACAAAACAGTTTCTGGAGGGTCACCAGAAACCTGCCCCCTGTGTAGGAGGGGTAGAAGCCTGGCTGCCCTTTGTCATGATGTCCCCCATCCCTGGCCTGCAGAAGCATTACAAGGGCAGAATCTTACCAAGTTTCTTTTCCCTTCCCACTCCCACTGCCATTCTTTCCCAAGTTTGACTGCTCTAAAACATTTACAGATCTAAAAAGCAGAGAGAAAAAAAATGTTCACCTGTCAGGTGATATAAAACCAATCTTCTACTAAATGTGCCAGAATAATTTTTCTCCACCTCAACCACAGTTAAAACCTTCAGTCTATTCATTACTGTCTTTTTATAGTATTTTTATTTAATAAAACCTATTAAGACTACCATACAAATCTCTTTACTTATGCTTTTATCTTTTAACTGATCAATTTTTATATTGCTGACATCCCTTCTTCACCATTTGCTCATTTAAAAATTCATAGTATATGAGCTATGTCTCTGGAGAAAACGTCTATAAAATTTGTTGCAGCTGGCAAATGTGTATGAGTCAGTGATAGCACATGACTAAATGCTTCACAGAAAATAAAATTTGTTTCTGTAGTAAGCAGAACTGTTTAAATGTTATTTATTTTTATGTTTCAAAGAAAATATATTGTGAAGTGCTGCATTGATTTAATACACAACAATGTCTGTGTACACGCTGTACAAGGAAAATTTATGAAACCTTTGCACAACTCCTTTAATTGAATTTTCCAAATCTCTCACCACACACAAATAATCAATATCTTCTGCAGAGAAAACCAGTCAGAATTATTACAGTCTTTCTTTTCAATTTTGTTGTCATCAGCACATACAGAGCACCTGGATATTTGTAATGTCTGGATGGCAAGTTATTTACACCTCTTAAACATATAATTGCTACTAAGTGAGTCCAAACTAATGTTTCTTTTCTTTTTTATTTAAAATAATTATATTCATGGGAGAAAGCAGTATTTATCCTCATGTAGGACTTGCCACATGTAGCTGTTGCAAGAACTACAATTCTTTTTAATTTTTCATTAAGCTTAATACTCTAAAGTCTAGATCCACTAGAATTAAAAATTAATAGCTATTTCATCTGTAAAAAGGTAAATAGGAAAACAGAGTATAAACACAAGTGTGAAATTCATGAATAAATGTGGCTGACACCTAACTATAAAGTGCAGGTTGACAGTTCTATATGTATATACATCTGAGGCCTATAGTCATACGTCCCACGTGCATTTCTAGATCTGCCACAGAAGTTAATAGCTTAATATTTCATCTACATAGCAGAGGGTGTTAAATCACTGGAGATGTTTGTAATTTGCCCTCTTCCTTCTATCCAAAAAGCTTACCAAGCTGGTGACCTCAGAGCCAGGCACTTCTCCAGTCTCAGGTTGTGTTTTCAGCAACACACACCCTGGAGGTGCAGGTATCACCCACAGACCCGTGCAGCACTTGGGGGTCACACACCAACCTGGCCACCAGCTCCTCTGCCCTCCCCTTGACAAGATTATTCACTCGTCCTCAGAAAATCACTGACATTGCAGATTTTGGGTACCAGGCTAAGTGGGTTTTGTCACCTCTTGCAGACTGTGAAGGACATTGCATGGCTACAAACTATACAAAGACCCGCTGGCATAGGGTGAGAGGAGGCTGTGGTCACATTTAGCCTGACCAACATCCACACTGTACCAGTGATAACACAGCACACTCCTCCAGGTGCACCCTGGGGCAATCTCACACTGGTTCTGATTGTAAATGCAGGAGGGCAGAACCATTTCTCTGGGTCTCTGCATGGGGACCTTCAAACTGACTTACGAGTAACCAAGAGGTGAGTTGCACCAAATCCTGCTGTGCACACTCAAATGTTCAGCACTGAAGGAGTCTTAATTCTGTTTCACTTAGTGCAGTCCCTATAATGACATTTTTTCCCTGCAAGTAAATACAAACTTGGGCTGAGAAGAAACTCTGATTTTTTTAGGTTAGGGTTTTTGCAGTCAGAAAAATCCAGAGATACATTTCTGAAAATATGTATCAGAAGTCTGATGTATTCCCCTTTTCTCCAGGAGATCCCAAAGGAGGAGGAGGAAGGAGAGGAGGGAGACAGACACCCAAGTATGTGTAAAGGTCAACAAATACGTTCTACTTCACTGGAGAATAAGGTAAAAATAGATTGTAAATCTGATTTACCCTCACAGCAAGCCACCAGCAGCCCAGACACAAGCTCTTCAGTTGCTTGTACACAGAGGCCCCATATAAAGTTCAAACTCAAACTGACGTGAACTGGGATAAACTGTGGGATATTGTATCCTTACCATTTTATCTGTTTGGAGAAGGAGCTCTGCCTCTTGAGGAGGTCTCCATATTTTGCAGTGTTTCTGAAATGGAATTTTATGTTTTGCCATATAGACACGGTCTCAAAACATTAACTGGCAAGTGGGAACTCATTATTACTTGATCCTTAATCTCTCCAGCTTTGCTTTCATTAATATTTCCAAGTGGCATTAAATGAAAATCCATCTAGCTAACCCTGATCTAGTCTCTTGGAAAGCCACCACTACTGTTGCAAAGAGTGCAAACTTATAGAATCATAGGATGGTGAAGGTTGGAAGGGGCCTTAAAGATCTTGTAGTTCCAATCCCCCTGCCATGAGCAGGGACACCTCCCACCAGACCAGGCTGCACAAGCCTCATCTAACCTGGCCTTGAACATCTCCAGGGAAGGGGCTTCCACAACCTCCCTGGGCAACCTATTCAGGCACCTTCCTACCCTCATGGTGAAGAATTTCCTCCCCATGTCTAACCTAAATCTACCCTCTTTCAGTTTAAAACTATTCCCCCTTGTCCTATCACTGCCCTCTTCGATGAAAAGCCCCTCCCCATCATTCCTGTAGCCCCTTCAGGCACTGGAAGGTGCTTTAAGGTCTCCCTGGAGCCTTCTCTTCTCCAGGCTGAACACCCCAACTCTCTCAGCCCTTCCTCATAGCAGAGCTGCTCTGTCCCTTATACTAAAAACAAAAGGAAAGTTAGGAATGTTCAGTAGGAACCTCAATAGGGGTGAGCATTTTTGCCCTTCGGCTTGGCAGGATCAACACCACTACAGAAAATAAAGTATTTTTTACTTCATTACATGACACAGTCTGAAAACAGTTTTTCCTTAACACTAGAAGTATTTGAGCTTCTGTAACACTCTCTTGTCTCTTACTTGGACAGAGTCATGGATGTAGTTTATATCAATCAGTGTTTTTGGGAGGCAAAGAGTTAGTATAACTTGTAACAACCTCCTTAAGTAGCTTTCCTGTTTAGAATGTTCCTTGAAACTCTGAACTTACTACATTTTCCTTTAAAATATGCATATCACAACCTACACATTTATTCTCAGCACACATAAAGCATGTTTTGGGCTGTAACATACCCAGTAGATTGCATCTCTTGGCAGCTGCTTTACAGTTTGCTTACATTCTCTTCAAAAACATTTTGTTTACTTCAAATGCTAGTCATGGACAAACAATGATGCTGTTTTTTATGCTGGTCACACAAAATGATATACTGAGTTCTACATAATGCTGCCCATTGAGCAAGGAATGTTTTGTATTGAGATGTTTTAAGTAGAGGTTGTTTATGTAAAGTAAATAAATTTCATGCCTCACCATGTGATGATAATGTGACATTCCATCTGTATCAAGCCACAGAACAGTCATAAGTTTTAAGTCTTGAGCAAAACTAATTAAAAATAATTGGGAAAAACCACATCCAAAACTAAAAAGCAGTCAAACATCTCCAAATGCTTTCCTTTTATCACATAGTTCTTTGCCTCCCCTATTACTATATTTTCAAGACTTATATTTTCAATTTATTCCTTATTGAAGCAAAACTGACATTCAAACTTCATCAAAATTGGGCAACTTAAACTCACAATTCTATTTCCCAACCTACTTTGGCAAAATATTTCCTTTCTCCTCTAACAAGACTGGATAAGGGTTTAACATTAGGGGCTAGTTTCCAGAGCAAAGATGGAACTAAATGTACATCCTGGTGACCATTAAAAAGCAGTGCACAAAGGGAGCAATGAGTGTTTAAGTCTGCAATGGCCCATAGCCTTCCCCATGACAGTGCTGGAGAGGGGCTGTGATCACTGGAACAGCAGGACACAGGGAGCTGTAAATCAGAAATAGCAGATGGCACAAACGAGCCAAATCTTAACAAGTGATGTCACTCCTTTTCATTTTGCAGTAATCTGCTGGAGCTGGGGTAACTTCAGTCTGACCAGTGCTCTTTCCTTTAAGAGAATTCCCTACAGCAGAAAGAATTTAGGCTGGTGGAAGAGCAGCTACACCCAAAATCCAGTGGGCTGCTGGTGGTAGGAAGCAGTCCTGCTGGCTGGGAGGGCTGGCAGGCAGAGCAGCAGAGATGCCATCACCCATTTTGATTCTCTTTTGCTCTATTATAAGATAGAATGTGTGAAGGCAAAAGAAATACCAGCATATCAGTAGTGAATGTTTGTTGACTTTACTGGGTGTGAGAAAAAAAAACCCCAAACCCTGTTTGTGTCCCCCTGCCACCTTCCCAGCTAGACAAGGCAGTGATGTGGCCAACTTCAAATATTCCCACAGCACTAGTTATGAAGAAGCCCAACAGCCAGGATTTCACAGTCCCCTGGAGTGTGCTCAATACCTCACAATATGTAGAAGGTGAAAAAGGTTTCACTGCAGAGACTGTGCTACTCTGATTACACACAGACAATGCAGCAGGAGGGAGGAGAGTGAGGAAGGAGGGTAGCCAGTATATAAAAGTTGTGTAAACTCTCTAGGACCTGACTGCACCTATTTCTAAACCTTGACTCCAGTGCAAGATCATTAATGATTTTTTTCCCCTTTCACACTTTGATAGAGAACTACCCAATATGATGAAAATAGCAGAAAAGATGAAATGTACATGTGAGTGAAGGTAAAAGTTTTCAACAGAAACATAGCTGATGGTCATGGTTTTCACATACTAAAGGTTACCCAACTTCTTTCAAGGGGGAATAATTAAGAAGGAATAAACTAAAAGGAATCATCAAAACATCTGTCACACAGCAGTTCTAAAAAGTTTCTTACCTGGGGCAGGAAGTTTTCCATGGTTTCTTTTCAACAACTGCAGTTCTTCTGCTTGCCTCACTAGTCGAATAAAGAAACATTAATTCAATAAATGTTGCCCCAGAGGTTTCAAAGAAAATAATACCTTCTTTTTCACTTTCAAAGCATTTAAGTTTTTCTTCAAGAGATTACAGCCCCTCCAGCCATGTATTGTGCTCAAAAAACTAACAAAATTTCAAAATGAAAGGAATTTTGAGAAGTTGTGCTTTCAAGGCTCATGCCTCATTTTGTTCCCAGTTTTGGAACTCTGCTGGGACACTTGCACCTAATGCATTAGAAGAGTCACTTCTGGCAGGAAAAATTCTCTAGCACCTGTGGCTTTGCTGGCCACCTGTTTCCAACTGTGAACAAAGTAGCAGTCCCACCCACCTGAGGTTTTGCTCTCCTACAGCTAGTTCCAGTTTTGTTACACTGCAGAAGACAGAGACCAGACAGGTTGTGGAATAATGTATGCTGGCTAAACATCATGTTGGCTGCAGGTTAAGAAATGGTTTTGTCTTTGTGTGCTTGTCCAGAGACTGGACACAGGGACCATGTGTATGCAAAGATCAGTCATGTTCCCTGGTCAGCTGGGAGCTAGATCATCAGAGGTTGGTATGAAAAGCCTACAAGAGCAAGGACATATTTGTGAACCCTTGAGGAGAAGCAGTGGCAGAGAAGTGCAGTCTTAGACACAGGCCTGTACCACAAACCTGCTGTGTGGGTGCAGGTAAAAGGTGTTGCTGTTGTGAAAACAAATGAACCAACTGTTCTGAAGCATAAAGATTGGGGGCCCTCTGGTGCCTACAGCTACCTTAAACTCTTTAAGGAACCTTACACTCTTTAAGGAATGCCCTGGTAAGGGGGATCTTTAGTGTCTCTCCCTAAAAGCTAATAAGGTTTTGGTTTGCTTTGTTTTCCTGCTGTTACCCGTAACCACAAGTTTCTTGCATTGGAATATCTCCCCATCACACACTCCCCTTCTAGTTGCAGAGGCAGCTGGGAGGAGAAATACAACTAGACTTTTTGCTGCTGTGGGTTCAAATGTCCCACGAACCTCTGCTTTGGAGCAAGGATAAAGTTTCCTAAAACCAGGCAGTTATAAATGAAAACCTTTGGCTTTCTGGGTTCCTTTGTAAAAGTAGTACAGATGTGCCAAATGTCAAGTGCCCTTATCCCAACACAATAAGCATCTGGTATGTCCATAATTTAAAGACACATGAATAGCAATTTTTAAAGCCTGGAAACCTACATTCAGCCTAATCCTCCTAACAGGCAAACAAACAAAACAACTTCCTCGCAGAAGGAGAAGAAAGGCCATGCAATCAAAGTGCAAACGTTTAGCCTAATCACTAGCTAACTACCCACTAAGTATCTAACTATTCACATAAGAAAAGGTGTTGCTCTTGCAAGTTTGTCCTCCTGCACCGCGGCTGGGAGTTAGAAGAGCGGCCCGTTGGTCTTTGCCTTTATGTCCACGGTTGGATGCACAAGGACTTTTAAGGCACAATTGTCCTGACCAAAAGAACTCGCACATCAGAGTCCCGGGGTAACACTCCACTACAACAGAGCGGGTGTGACTCTAGGAAAAGTCTGGGGTGATCATTGTTAAATCGTTATAAAGGGGATAAACAGTACTGAAAATCCTCCTTACTTAGCTCTTGGGTTTTCTGCACTTCAGCCCTCAAGTCGCAAGACACGTCTGAGACAACAGGAGTATTTCCAAGCTCACCACTGCCCTCTAAAGCCTGGAAAAAAAAAGCAAACCAGAATTAAAGACATTGTTCGATCTCATTCCCAAACTACTCATTTACAACTGATTAAAACCATCTGAAAGATAGAACTTTTTGGAAATGTTTTCATCAGCTCTCAACGATGCAAGAGACTCCAGCTCACAGAAAGTCAACGGGACTAAAAAGTCGAAGGATGTAAGAACATATGTTGCTTTTGAAAATGGCATTCAGGTGCCTCTGAAAGTGCTACTTAAACATCTCCTGTTATTTGCGCTCCATTCGTAAGTCTTCAGCTGTTTAAACAGATTAGCACTTGATCCCCAGAAAAGCAATCTTGGCACATGCACAAGCTTGCTGTAATATGTTAGTAAAATGGAAATCTACACGCATTTCAGATTCTGTTGAACACACTCAACATTACTTAGCAGGGCTAAAAGCATGCACTGTCCACCTCGGGAGAAATCTACAGGATTTTTCAATAGTTTTCTAAATAAACATTTCAATTAAAATATTTTAAATTAGTATCAGTCTCCACACTGTCAGACCACATATGCAAGTAAAATAAATCAATACAATGCTTTGAGTGCACTGACTTATTTGTCAGACATTGATATTCAACAGCCAACTTTGTGCTAAATTTATTCAGGAAACCTAAATCTGAATAAAAGGGAAAAGTGATTTGCATTTTAGCATGTATTAAACAGACTATGCAGTGATGATACATTGGTGGTAAATTAAACAGTACAATCACTTGAACAGAAAAGGGTATTTAATCTTCAAGGACATAAAAATCGATGCAATAATAATTCATACTACAGGTTATAAATAATAGTTGATAACTACTTCATATGCTTTTATTCATGTACAGAATGAGGAGTGACACAAATAAAAATTATGTACTTGGAAAAGAACTCCTCTAGTTAAAAAAAATTAATCCACTAAGTTCTGGTTTTGTTTTTTCATTTTCTGGGCTGCCAAGTCAAACCTGCCTGGGTTCAAGTATTTTATTTGCTTCCCCATTCCTTAAATACTGCAAGCAAGATTTTAAATTTTATTTAATATCCTATATTGAAAGTAGATTTAAAAAATAAATCAGTGTAAACTAGACCTGTAGGCTTGTTAGCTTTGCTCTCATTTTCAGAAATGTAGCCAAGGAACTTTTCACTTTGGACTGCAATTCCATGAACCTGCATAAAAAATGAAAATAAAACCATTTTAACTAGCCACGTCAGGGCTTGCTGAAAAATCAGTGTTCACAATGTTTCCCAGAGTTTCTTCACATTGTAATCAGGATGGATCTAGATAAGCTGTGAACAGATGGGCTGTGCAACCCGACTGTGTCATGTAACACCAAATATAACTTGCCTATGGTTAAGGTTTATACAGGAACTGCCAAAAATATTTATATTCTAATTTTAAGGATAGGAACTCAGGTTCAGCAATATTAGAGGATTTTCTTATGATCACTCTGGAAAACAATGGTAAAAACAGGAATTTAACTCATTTGTTCCTAAGAGCAGGAATTTAATCAAGAGGACGAGCTCCCCAAACCCATGAATTGCAAGACTGTCCAACACTGCTTGTGGCCACAGGAAACATGAGAAGGTAAAACTTAAGCCCCACAGGGACAACATCATATCATGGTATTTGTTCAGCTTTCTCTACTACCTCCCCTTTTAAGCCACAAATATATTTTACTACCAGTGTAAAGACAGCCAGCCTTCAGGGTTTGATGGGTTTTGCAATAAAAATTAAAATAATATACAATCAGCTTAGATCTGAAAGTTAGACTTGGGTGCATGATTAAGGGTTTGCACTGAATAGGTATTGAAAAAAAATTCCTGCAATAAATGTGCAGGCTATTTTCTCTTTGACCCGTTTAATCATGTGAATCAAATGGAGACAACAGAGAAATAATCTATTTTGCTTCCTCCCTCAGAAGGGAGAAACACCCTTCTAAGAAACCCCAAATGTAGAAACAGAACTACAGTGGGAGAAAAATTTCTCCCTGCTGTATTTCAACATGGGAACAGAAGGCTGTGTAGAAAAGAAAATGTTAATGCCAGGGGATTGTACAATGTATTTTCCACTTGTAAAAATGAAGTATATAGAAGTTTACATAAGTATTACTGTGTAGGTGTTAGTTTATCAATGTGTTTTACTGGCATGTCACTAACTGCTAGTCTTCTGCAAATCTGGCAATTCAAAAACAAGCCATACTGAATTGTTGTATACAAATATTTCCACGTCAATGAAGACTATGTTCACATTATTCTGCAATTCAAGGTTACTACCTCTAAGAAACCAGTTTATATGTGTTGACCAAGGGATTTACTGAACCACAAAAAAAGCCCCAATTAATCAGTTTTCACTGGTATAATTTTATTTTTCCCTATCTAACATGCTATCCAAGCAATTCTGCTATCTGCCAAGCTCCATCAATTAGAAGACACTGTCCTACAACATAGAAATTTCAAGCGAAGGGTTTGGGAAAAGACTCCATTGCAAGAAAAAAAGCCCCAGCAAACACATTCTGAGTTCAAGTGCAATAATCAAAAGGAAGAGCTACAACTTCAAACATAAGATACATAATACTTAGTTGACTAAATGTGACAAATATTGCTTGTTGGTAAAAAAGAAATACATGGTATATCTAACCCCAAGGGAATTTTCACCTGGGACACTGGGTCCAGCTGTGATACAAATATTTAATACAGACAGAACAGACTAAAGAAGCAGAATAATAGAATTAATGTGTACTTGAGCATATGATGAAAGAAACCCACTCAAGTAAAAGCCCCCAACTCTTTAATGTTGGTTAACTTGCCTGTAGGAATTCTGCACTCACATGGTGATGCTTCTTCCAGGGACACAAGGTGCAGCAAGAGCAAGGACTGACAGTATGACTTCTTGTCAGGAGCAGGAACACAAGGGAAGGGCAAAGAAGCTGGCCAGCAAAGGAGTGTGGAGGCAATGAAGGTTTGCATTACACTGGGAGGTAAGGAGAGCTCTGACTGACAAACTGGGGTAATGGGAGAAGCACTTCAGATTGTAGAGAGAAAGTATGCTGGACCTACAGACAGGAGAACTGATATCAGGAATTGGATGCACAGGCTGCTGGGCCTGAATGGAAAACAGGACAGCCACATTACATAGAATGATTAAATATATATATATATGTAATGCTGTAGAGGAGAGTAGAGGACAGGTGGTACAGCCAGGCTGATGCTGAGCTGTGAATTAGATTTTCTGGGACAGACGAAAAAGTCAAGAATTTTAGAAGATTTTGCAAAGCAAACATGAAGTTTCACTATGTCCTGGCTAGTTTTTAATCAAAAAGTGTTTCTGCATTACTGGTTCTATATCTGTGGCAGCTAATGCTTCAAAAAATAAGAGAAAGGAATGTACACTTTCAGAAGGGTCTAAGAAGGCTATAGGAAATACTCGTCCTTCCTAAGTAAAACTCAGGCATCGCAGCCACAAGACACGGGATACACTTACTCATCCTCCTCTGTTTGAGGCTGCCCTCTCCTGGATAAGCTGCTTTCTGACTTCATCTGCTCAGTGCTGGCTCCTAGGAGGGTCACCAGAAAGAAAAGAAACAAAGACAAAAATAAGATACAGAGTATCTGACCTTCACGAAAAAGCTGTTAGGATGAACCCTGCCTGTTCAACGATCTTTCAGAAAGAGAAAAAACCCCAAAATTTACCTAGGAAGCAGGACAGATTCCTTCATGATGAAATACACTCAATTCACTATCATTTATTCCTGCAATTTGACCTCTCATCAATTCACAGTACGTTTGTATTTGTGGGATTATAGTACACTGGAAATTAGTATAATTCTGACACACAGTTCCTGTGTTTTGCTCAGAAGCTTTTTATCCTGTTAACCACCTAAATGCAGCCTATTAGCAAGAGCATTATCCTGAAAATAATGACTGAGCAATGAAACCTCCATTTTCCTCTCAGGAAAAGTGCCTGGTCCACAACTCCATCTTGTAAACAACCCCAAAGAAATACTGCAAATGACTTCTAAAGCCTCTGACATGCTACATTGACAGCATAATATTCTAGCATCATCATGTGTCAGGGCATGAACAATCATATGCCAGTTGCCATTATTCTGCCTGATGAGCCAGATTTCTGCATTTCAGTGCACTGACACTTGGAGCAGATGCATGTTTCTGTGCGGAAACAGGACCAGGATCTTACCACCAAATCTATTCCTATGGATTGGGTAATAAAACCTAGGCTCTCAAGTGGTGTAGGCGCAGGGGTGGACTGCCTTTCTGGCACTGCAGGTTGGGCATTCCTAAATGACCAGATTCCAAGTGTCAAACAGAGACTGTTCTCCCAAAGCATGTGGGCAGGGGGATGTGTTCAGTGAGGCTGGTAAGATAAAGAAAGTTGGTGCTGCATTGAGGCCTCTGCTTGAGTTGGTTCAACAGCCACTCACAAAGGCCTTGTATGTTTAACCATACACCTCTGATCCCAAAAAATGTCCTCAATTTCCATCTATTTACACACCTTATCACAACCCACACAATTCAGACAGAAATCATATTAGACCAAAAACAAATCAAAGTTTTATCTTGTGTCAATTACTATAGTTTTGAAAGTCAGCTTGCCCATTTTGCTTGCTCTCCAATTAGCATATCAGGAGGGTGATGTACTAGCAGAAAAAAAGTACTGTCTCCCCCCTAGCCAGTACTTCAAAAATAGCATGTATTGTCACATCTAATAGGATCCCAGAGTACAACTGGCTTTGGTAAATCTACTGAAACTAGTGAGGCAATGACTTATTGTGCTCCACACAATCTATACAGTCACCTTAAGTGTTATATCTGTATAGGCTCCAGCAATCAGGAGGTCACATCTGAATAACAGAAATGAATTCTGATTAGTTGTGGCTGAAGTTGAAGACATCACATAATGTGGAAATTTTGTAACTTCCACCTTAAGAATTTTCTCCCTCAACAGTATCAGGCAAACACTCAGTTTCTCAATTTCTACTCCCATTTCTGGACACAGTTCTACTCTTCTGTACAATGGATTTATTTTGGATCTGATATAGTTAAAGACAAAATGGTGGAGGTGCAGGCATACACAGGAAGGGGGAGAGGCATAATCATGCATTAATTCTTTTTTTTCTGATGAGTTTTCCCTTTAAACAATTAGATCATTAGTGCATTCAATAACTGCACACTAGTAATTCAGCTTTAGAGTTCACCCAATTCATAGCCCTTCAGACTATACTGATCTATCCACTACCCAAGAATTGCTATTTTTTTTCTGGTGCCAAGTAAGTTCACAAAGTGTTTTTAATTAGTTATTAGCTGCCATTCCTCCAACAGATACATACATGTTCTTACAAATGCTTTGTATTGAACAGCTGTTGTTGTAAGGGTGAAATTCACCTTTAATTCAAAAATTTGGAGGAAAATAAAACAGATCTTTACTGTGGCCTTAACAAATGCATTGATTCCAGACCAGACCCTCTGGAATGAGGTGCTTTTCACTTTTCACTGTAATACATCCCCTTTCTGACATCAAACCAAAAGAGAGACCACACTAAGCATTAAATACTTGGATTTCTTCTTACTAGATCTAAATTATTACAGACAAGTAAATTAACTTTTAATTTTAATATTTTGTAAAACATTTAGAAATACTTCAGAATGACAAGATGCTATAAAAGTTTCAGCTGTTCCACCACAGTAGCTAAAGGTTAACACGCCCAAAGATTAAATTTAAAATCTAAGTACTTGTAGAACTTGCAGTTAAATCAGTCATCACTAATCAGATACTTTTAGACCAGTGCTGTGGAATGGTGGAACCATGGGCTGATTTGAATAAAAATACAATTATTCAAAATAAATCTTAGAAATGTGTTAGCCAACAATGATGAGAAACTTGTGATGATTTTATATTTCATTAATGTAGAAATGTATGTCATAAATGGGTTGTGAGACTTAGGGTAGTTAGGCAATATATGAATCATCAGGCAGCCCAATAGGACAACATCATTGAGACACATTCTCTTATAACTGGGTTGGTTCATGTCTTCTCCTAAAACAAATGTTACTTTGGAACCATCTTAACATTCTGTAGGTATTTGGTCTTTTTTGAGACAGTCTTCCACACTGTTATCAAAAGAAAGTCATGTTCCTAAGACAAGTAATTTCCACCTGTCTCCTCAGATGCAGGCACTTTTTGTACTTTGCACAACGCACAGCAAGTTTTCACAGTCAATGGCATTTATTTTGTATCCATTTTCATTCTGTTGTTTTTTTAATATTGGCCACAGAAACATACAATCTAGATTTTACTCTAACACCTCAAAGGTGATGTGCATAATCTATTAAAATATTACAACACTCTTAAAAAAAAAGTGTCCTTTCGGAAGGAGAAAATAAATTGGGTTTTAAACCTAAAAGGACAACCTGAAGCCTGTGGTCTTATATACCACTATCGTGTAGTTATATGAAAAAAAAAAGTAGTCTAATACTACATGATTGAATAATTATCCCTGTAAATGTCAGCTATGATCATGTGATCAGTCTTTTTATTGGCAAAAAGAACGTTCCCCTATGTCCATAGTTAACATCAGTCTGGAAGTGCAGAACATGTTCACCTTTCCCACTGACATCTTGATATACAGGGATTTTCAGACAAGACATTTTGCCCCCTTCTTTTCTTTCACCTAAGTGATAAGGCATGTAATGCAAATGTACAGATGCTGAAAAAGTTTTAAAACTTCCTGGAGGAAAAACCCACTTCTGCAGATCCATCATGAGAGCATATGGTGCAACAGCTAGTGCAAAAATCTGCAGACATCTAGATAAATTTCAAACAGTGGTTATTCCATCCTGCTCAGAATATTTCTACTCATCATAATTCATGAATGTTACTGAGGCCTCAATTACTGCACATAAATCCCAAAATATATGGGGCACGGAAAGCTCTCTAACCCAACAAAAAGGCGTAACAAGAACTGATGGCTGAAAATTAAAGCCAGACAAATTCAAAATCAGATTTATTTTTTTAATACTGAAGGTAATTGAACAAGGGACTTGCTAAGAAGGGAAGTGCTGGATTGTTGTTGTTGTTATTATTACTATTATTTAAAGTCTTCAAATAAAGACTTAACCATCTTTACAGGAGTTGTACTGCAAGGAAATGAAAGCTCTTGGGATTCAGAAAGAAAGCCCACAAAGGACATCACTAGCATAAACATGCCTGACCAGTGGAATTAATGGAATTACTGACAAAAATGCCAGTGCAGAGTTTTTTTGCTGAGCCAAAGTCTAATATTTTTAATACTGATCAACAGAAAGCAAAACCTGTTTCATAAAAATACCTAAGATTTATACAGAAAAGATTGAAGCTTTCAAAGTCAATGCCTGCTTTTCCCAAAGACATTAAAATCCTTTAAGAGGAGAAAGGAATCAAACATACCACATGAGACATAAGTTACTAAATCAGGGCAATAACCAGAAAAACGTTGCAGTAAGAAAGACAGAATGTTCAACTAACCATTTGATGGGCGATTTCTGAGAGTCTGTGCATGATGACTCGTGGGAGATGAAAATGGACTGATTTGGCATGTTCCTGTTGTTGGTGAGTAAGAGTTTAGGCTTTTCTTTTTGCTCTTCAAAGGTGTTGCATCAGGTGGCTAAAATGTAGCAGAAGACAAAGAGTCCAGATGAATATTGGCTAAGGAGAAAGCACCCACATCCATCTAAAACTACAATAGTTGGGAACTTTACTTCTGCAAACTAAATATGTTCTGGCCTCTACTTCTAAGGTCAGTAGAGTCCCAAATTGCACCCCAAACCTCACAAAGCCTCTCTGAACATTTACTATCTGCTAATAGGCTTTTCCAGGTAATTCCTACCTTATCTCCTCCCATTTATGGGAAGCCTATGCTATATGTTGTGATGGGTTTATCTTTACCTGGCTGTCAGGTGCCCACCAAGCCATTCTATCACTCCTCCTCCTCATTAGTATTAGTTTGATTTGAAAAAATAAAAAGCCCTTCAAGCACCAGCCTCTCAGTTTTCATAAACATAAAGTATGTGGTTTCCAGAGACTGAGGTATGAGGTTTTGGCATGAACACTTGGCTGGTTTTGTTTGGTTTTATAAAAGCAGCCAACAAATGGTGTAATTTCTCCTACAGGATTGAGAATTTAATATACATGAATAATAAGTGTGTATTTTTAGATTTTAATTCTATCAAAATGCAGTTATTTCTAATGATTTTCTAAACAAGTCTTAATTAAAAAACAACAAACTCAAACGAGTCCCTTAAATACAAAATTTTGTCTCTGGCTTAGGATTTAAATGATCTTCTAGGTCCCTCCCAACCCAACCCATTCTATGATTTCAAAATGTCTAGTGATATAAAAGGAGTTATTTAATGATGCTAAAGGAATTGTGCAAGAAGTTTTCAGAAAAACTAGCCTGCAATTCAGAAATATTAACTGGGAGATTGGATGCTGAATTGCAACTCTGAGAAACTGGGATTCCACTGCACTGCTAATACACAGAAGAAAAATCAACCCAAATCAAACCCATACTTTGCACAGAAAGGGCTTCTGCTCTAGTAACAACTTAATTGCAATTAAGAAGTCTAGCAGCTTTAAAAATAACACCATTAATGACTCTCTGAAAAAGGAGACACACATAAACAGAACACAGGTAGCACTTAAAGGACATTCCACTGGCATCAGCAGCATCTTAGTGTCATTTACACTCTTAGAAACCATGGATCAAGTGGCTACAGGATTTTCCAGGTAGCTCAATTGGAAGTGTTAGGCAATATGCAGACTACCAGGCATCCAGAATTCACTGTTATGTACCACCTGATCCAATAATTAAACATCTGCCATGTAACTAATAAAGGGACATTTTGGGCAAAACCAGTTTTTCCAGTCCCTTTCAGAATTTTCTCAAGGACTTCCAGCAGAGCTGTCTGAATGCAACAAAACAGACTTTTTTTCCTACAGTTTAGTGATCTTTTTTTTCCCCTCTTAAAAACATAGTATCATCAAAGCAAACCACACAGAGAAGCAGAATGAGAGATTTCTTCATTTTAAAATTTGTTACAATCCTGGATCTTTCAGTTTGAGGAGCAAATTCATTTATCTCTATTTTTGCAAATGCAGCAAGCAAAGGAAAGACACATCCAATTGCCAAACAACCACCGTTCTCTTGAGCCCCATTTCAGCCATAAAGCTGAATATCTATAATTTGTCTTCATGTCACTTAGAACAGTCACTCAATTTCATACAGTATTTCTTCATTGGAAGCTTTATTGTACATGATTATTCTGTAATCTTTTTAAGTTCCATTTATTATCCATTTTATTAATGTTAGAAGTATCATAGGTAAGCATATGACACTGTTTCAATACCAAGAATGAAATACAAGGTGAGGATCTGATGTTTACATTCAATAAAGAATATGCAGTACTTCAGCCCAGTTGGGGGAAAAATATTAAATAAAAGAATCAGACAACCTGATATTTGCACTTTGGTAACTGACATTTCCACTGCAATTTCAAATTAATAACTCATTCATTCCCTTGTCATACTTAATCATATGTTGTCCTATTTTGCTGGAAAAAGACCTTTGTGCTCCTCTTTTTTAAATCAGATTGAGGAAAGGGCATACAAATTTTTGAGACCAGTGGGGATTCCTCAGCATGGGAATCTCTTGTGTACTCTGGGAAGAGTTTCCTGGGGACATGGTGGAGAGCAAAGGCAGTGTGAGTCCAGAGCATGGTATAGCATGGAAAGACAGCTCTGAGAAGGCCTGAACCTCCTAGGTTTAAGGTTTTACAAATATCCTTTGGAAAATGTAGCTACAGCAATTCTAGATGTTAAAAGTGGTGCACAGTCAGCAGGGGATTGAAATCTCGTGAAGCATAATACTCCTGTATTTCACACCTAGCCAGACATGCATTCCCTTTATGTTTCCATTATAGCTTCTACCACATCCTTGACTTCACCAAAATTTCAGGATGATTTCTAGAAGTTACCATGACATATATAAGTTTCCATTACTGGCTTTCAGTCTTCCACACTGCAATATTATTGAATTCCTCTTGATTATATGAAAGTATAAAGAACGTTCAATATCCCCTTGTCTCCGTTTAGTGGTCAGAGAACCAAAGCTCAGATAATTGAATTGGTCTCTGTTACTCCCTTCCACCTTTCCTGGGGGAGAAGGAAGAGAGACTTCAAGGTTGGAAAATAAAACTAGAACAGGTTTACTAGAACAGGGAAGGGGTAGTAACAGGTGGGACAATAATAAAAAATATACAAATATATATTAAACTCTATTTCAATGGTCACTTATACAAGTGTCTGAAAGTCCCCCAGGGCAAAGCCAACTTGGGAAGAAGGTCCAGGTTTCTTCCCAGCACCTGATGGAATCAGATCCTGCAGAGCACGTGGCAAGCTAAAGATACAGGGCAGGAGTTTCTCTCCAAGAGCTCTGCTGGACCAGGGAAGAAGGAAGGGAAGCAGGAAGGGAAGGAGGAATACTGATTCATACAATGGCATTATAGTTCCAGTGTTTCTTGGTGTTCTTTCTCTGATATATCTTATTGTACTTTTACACAATGCTGCAGAGTTGATGTTTTTCTCCTACTCCACCTTCAGCAGTTGTCCTTAATTTAGAACCTAACAGTGTTCTACTGCTCATCAGTAAGAGGACTTACACCATATTGCAAAAGATTTAATTTGCTGCCCACTTATCTAGCTTTCTTATAGCTCCTGGGTATTACTCTGCCTTGTTTTAGTCTTAAATACCCTGAATAATTTCAGATCAGCCATTTATACCCTTTTTGCACTCTGTCAGTATTTAAATAATACCTGATGGAAACCTCCAGCCTGTTACCATTAATATTTTGCCACATTCAGGCAGGTTAAAGAAATATTTCAAATAACCTTTAAATGAAATATTATTTACAGTGAAGTATCAGTGCCACTTTAGGCATGTAAATGATATCAAATCTCTGGTAACAGGGAAGTCTCCAATCTGCTTACACTTTCAGGATATTTTTCCTGCTTTATCAGCAGTCACCTCAGCCATCATATTTCTGGATATGAACTAAGATCCCTTTGAGCATCTACCTGGAAAAGTTCCTGTGGTTCTTAAAAGGACAGTATTTCTTTGGCAGTAAGAATTTATCTTCCAGGAAGAAGAGTCTTAGTCCACTTGTGCAATTTTTAAATTATTCCATGATAACATTACAAAATTTAAAATACTGATTCTGATCTGGTTGGTCCAGGCATACTTTGGTTAGTCTGACCAGCAGGTGGAATTAAGGCCTCCTGAATAACAGAAAAGACACTGTAAAAACAGCAGTGAATGTGGCAGAGCTGAAACAGGTACTAGATGCAAATAATGTCTGTTTATTACCTTGTATTTCTTTCTACCTTCAGTAATGTTATTTAATTTTGGTACACTTTAAATCTGTAAAAATCATGGTGTAAACCCACATTACTGAGACTCTAGTGAAAGTTTTTATCATTCACATGGGCTTTTGTTAAGCTTTTTGCAGCAAAAGAACCAGAATGCAGGTAACCATCAAGTAACTCTTTCATTTTACCTTACAGGGAGGGGCCAGGGAAGGAACAACTTTAAGGCAGAAAAAGAACCCCATGTAATTTTGACTGGACCACTCATCTACAAAAACGTTGCTATAGCCCAAGAAACAGATGCAAAATTACAGTCACAGCTGCATCCTGAGCAGAACAAGTTGGGTAATGGTACACTAAGCTGCTAATTAAATTGCTAATGATTTTTTTTTAGTGCCACTGCAGTATTTTGCCACCTTTGTTTAAATAAAAAAAAAAATACCTAGAAATTTTTTTAAAATTGCAGATTTTTGTCTTGCTAAGTACCAGTGAGACCTCCAAATACATCCTGCATATAAACATACCTCTTCAAAATGACACAGATGTGCAGATTTATTTGGACCTCATTTGCTGACCAGCTATTTGTTTAGATATAATTTTCCAAAATTTCCCCTCCTTCACACACCACCATCCTCACAGGCTCCTCCACTCTTGGTAGGAGCAGATAATAAACTGACATATGTCATGACATGCTGGTGCTGGGAGTGCACAAGAGCTGCATTTACAAAAAATAATAGCAACAGTACAATTTTATTTTTATTGTGATAACTGTGGTGAAATTTATGGCAGTGTTAGTATTTTATTGTTTCATTATGCCAGATTAGCTGAGGGAGGTAATTATATCCTTGACATCAAAATGTCCTTAATGTTTTCATTTCAATTTTGCAGTTTATAATATGCAGATTACAGCATTATCATAATTCCATATTGTTACATGTACAATTGCATGGCAGAACATTTGCTTCCAGGATAATGGAGATGATTCCTAATAAATGGTTTCACCAAGGATCTTAACTCGTTCAGCTCTTGGGTAAATACTGATGGCAATAAAAATATGCATATTTCTCCATTATTTTCCAGTGATTCATGCAGATGCACATTACTTAAAGCCAGGCAGTTTTATGACAAATGGAATAAAAGAAATACTAATATTTTCAGCAGTAATTTTGTGCCTTGTTAATATTTTTCTAGACAACATCTGATCTGTAACAATGTAAATGCAGCTCTGATTAAATGTTTATAGACATAGATGTGTGCATGTAGATATATACACACATATACAGATATATCCAGCCCAGATGGTTCCATACACCAAAAGATACTTACATTATCTTTTTTAACAGTGTCCAACTTTAATGCCCTCTTAGCTCTGCAAGAAAAAAACATGGACAAGTTTGATGGCCATAGAGCCACAAAGATTTCTGCTAGTAAGGTCTCTAATCAGTAATTTAAGACATTTTCCTTTCTCATGTTTCACATTTTTTTATACTACACAAGAAAACTAATGTCATCCAAAGCAAATACATTAACTGGTTAAAATACCCAAACTATTG